TCTATCTATCTATCTATCTATCTATCTATCTATCTATCTATCTATCGGGGTGAAATTCAGCAGGTTCTTAACAACTTTTTTTTTGTGGTGGCAATTAAGTAAAAATTACAGCAATTGTGACCCCATTGTCTATTATGGCTACTTTTTTGTGGAAAACTGGAAATAAATGCCACTTTCTGGCAAAACCATTATAAATTGTCCCATGACCATGGGGTACTGCAAAGGCCTATAAAATTGGGCTGGTTGCTAAGTGCCCCAAATGCAGTCATGTGACCGGAGGGAGGCTGATATTAAAAGTGGTTTATAAATAGTTTTTTGGGGGTGGGGTTTCCATTGTAACTTCAAATGGTCATGAAGAGGCTGGTCGTAAATCAAGGACTACCTACAGTATATATTCATGTGAAACTTCATGGTGAATTCCCCCCACCCCACCCCTTAAAACCATATGATGTGGTAATAGAGGGAATGAACGTCACTGTCAAATGGCTTTGATATTAATAATTACTGTGCGAGGAAGTTTTTAAATAATCAGAGAAAATATAGAGAACTCAAGAAGATTCTTGGATGAGGAAATGTCTTCAAGAAAAAATAAGAGTCCAGTTACCTTTTGAAAAAACACATTTGGGACAACCATGTCCTGATTGACTGAAAGACTTCATAGACGCTGAGAAAATATATCTTACACCATATGCTTTGTCTTATTTTGAAGAAAGATTTTCATATTTGTTTAAAGTCTAGGAATAGTTGTATCACGAGAGACATTTTATTATTCCCATATTCTCCTTTCTGTCAAGACACCATTCCTTGAAAACAAGTCTAGGAGGCGGAACATCCTGAGGGACATGGCCTAAAAACCAGCTGAGAAATCTCTTTGTTTTTTCCAGAATATCATGATATTCTTTGGAAATTATCCTGTAATTGTACGATGAGGCAAAAGGCTGAATGAGACTCTTTCAAGGCATCTCATTGCAGGATTAAATAAAGGAAAATCCCAGCTGGAAGTTAACTTTTGAAATCTGGAAATACATCTAAGTTTATAGGAATCAAACCACTGGAGATTCCCTGCCAAGCCTAAAATATGCTAATGTTCCAGACTAAAACTTTCTCTTCATTTTGCTAAGCTGACACTTCTTCACCTCTGCCCCAAGGCCAAGAAAGTATTCCCTAGCCTTTTGATGTTATATATTTTTAAAAAATGTTGGAAGAGGAAAAATAAAGCTGGTTGTGCAAGCTAAAGAAATATGTAATTAGGTTGCCTCTAAGCCTATGTTAATTAGTAGAGATGCATTTTTTTTAAAAAAAAGACTTTTCTTTGTTTTTTACATTTTCATCTTCTTTAGTACCAAGAATATAGATTAGATAAAGATTCAGTAATTCAAAATATTTGAATATTCAAATTGATATTTGAATATTTAAGTTGATATTTGAATATTTAAATTGATATTTGGATATTGAATATTTGAATACTCTACTCTATTCTACTCTACTCTACTCTACTCTACTCTACTCTAATTTTCTATATTTTAGTCCAGTACAGAGGAGAAAATTCAGCCTATTTTCTAACATACCATATCTCAAAAATATCCATTATAGTAGTGTTAAATGAATGAAGGCCATAATGGTTCGTTGTTATAAGAATTAGTTCCTCATTACTTTAATTCTCCTTTTTCTACTCAGCCTTTTATTTATTTATTTGCATCACTCTTTTTTGAGACAATGAGGCTAAAGACAGATATTGTCTCATATTATTATTACACTGGAGAAACAGATTGTAACCACAACAAATAACTATATACAGTAGCTTATTTTTGCTCTTTGGCTGCCCCATGAATTCTTATTTATTTAAATAATGTCAAGGTTTGAAATATACCACAGTAACACAAGTATTTCATTCCACACACACATTAAAATCATATCAAACTGTTTATCTATTTTTTCCTTCACTTCTTAGAATCAGATTTGATTATTTCTTTCCAGATGTTAGCGGTCCTCCACTCTAAAATTCATAATTAAATGCACACGTTGGAATTTCAAAATTTTAGTCATTTTACTCAATATTATATTACTACAATATTGCTTTCTAGGGTATAGTAAGGGAATAATTTTTAAATGTTTCTGTGCATAAATATGCCATTTTTCTACTAGTGTTATTTCAGCAGAAGATGGCTTAGAATGCTAGAAATTCCAATGTCCTCGTCAACATGAAAGACTAGACTGCCTTCATCCTTTATTTTATTTCTTGTTTTATGTATGTTAAGTGAAACCAAATATTAGGGCAAGCGACTAGTACATAAATGAGACCAAACCCTACTCCTGATGTTCTTGTTTGGTAATGAAATGTCTGCAAGAAAACAGCCAAGCTTAGAGAACACTACAGTTCAACTGTGAGCTACAAATTTTCTCTTTCGCTGTGGAAAAAAAAAACTGATTTGAAAAAAAACACGAGAGGAATTATGTATAACTTAGGGCAATTTTTATGAACAGAAACATCCTGCATAAAAATATTGCACAGGTATAATGCAGAATATAAAATTATTCCTATCTTAAGTAAAAGTTGTGCTGGATGACATACATGACAGTTTATATTACATTTTTAAAATGTAGTTAAAACGCGGTCCACCATATATTTATTTCAAAATTGGACATGGAAGAAGAGTAAACCAATGTTGCAAATATTTATCACCAACCAAAAAAAAACCACAAATGTTTTCTTTTTTTTTAGTTCTATATTCAAACATTTGTCACTGTCAGTTTATATATTTGCTGTTTGTATATTATATATAGTTCTTTTTTATATATATATAGTTAACACAATAGCTATTTGTAACCTCTCTCTCTCCATCCATCAACTGAAAATATGCCAATTTTCTTCCCAACATCAACATATTTTGTATGTCACTATTAATTTAACCACATAAGGTATGAAACTCTAAATAAACAAAATGCCGCCAATAAATCACAGTTCATTTGTTAGTTCAGAAACATTTGTTTCTTAAGCATACGGCTAGCAAACTATCACACTGCTCACCAGGCATTCTGGCACTATTCTCCTTAGTGCAGCAAAGATAAAATATAAATGAAGTGCCTCAAGACTGGAGACTACATCAACATCTGTGCAGGCTTCTGAGTCAGAAGAAATCTAATCTCAGAGAAATCTAGTAACTCTACACCAGGGGTGTCAAACTCACATCGTCACGGTGTCGTCACATGATGTATCACAACTTTTTTTCCCTTTGCTAAACCAGGCATGGGCATGGCCAGCCTGTGGTCCATGAGTTCGACACCCTCTACACTTTCTCCCTGCCTCCTAGTGAGATGCCTGTACTTTTGGTAGTCTTTGACCCAAAAGGACCACTGGTATATTAACTCTTTGAGGTTGTATAATAATAAACCTTTGATCTTGAAGGATCAGGTTGGTCCTAATTTCCAGGTTCCACACTGCACTATAAAAATAAGCAATTATCAAATCCAAGGGAAAAAAAGGGGTATGGCATCAATTCTACCTTTGAATCCTAGCTCAGAAACTTTGTTCCACAACAGTGTTAGCACCTCGTCTTCTGCTCTATTGTCTTGGCCTCTCCTATTAAGATTCTAATGATGGAAATAACAACTGTTGAAAGTCACCTCATGGGTTAAATCTCTGGATAGAAAATTTGGGACCACTGAACTCTTGAGTTACAGTCTTATATGTGATTTATAGTAAACCAGGACTTTCCCTCCAAAAAACTGAACTTCTGAGACCTTTGAACTGTCCGGGTATAAAACCCCGTATCTTTGAATCATAAAAACTACAGTGAAGAAGAACCTTATGAATAACACAACACAAATGCATTACCGCAAATGTGTCATAAATTGAGGGTGTGTGTGTGTTCAACTGCTGCTTTTCACAATAATTTTTGTGTGAAATTGAGCATGTGTGATCGCATGTTTGCTTAAAGGCAGAAAAGATAAGACAGACTACAAAATTCTTTCTAGGATTAACCCTATCAGAGTTTCTGTTTTCATCAGAACACAAAGCACTAGATCATAACAATGCTATTTTCAGGTCCAAAGGTGATCTCTTAAATAGCTGCAGTTGTGTGCCACTCAATGGTTACATATGGCCCTGTATGGTATTGCACCTTTAAACATCAGGGATGTAAAAGAAGAAAAAGTGCTAATTTTAAAGTCAAATTCAGCCAATGCTTCAATACTAAGGTTGATTTCCTCAACTGATATTCACTGCTGCAATACACTTACTTGAAAAGTTCATTCCTCATTATAGCACGGTTTGTCTGAGGATCGATTGCATAGATCATGAGGTCAGATTTGGAATAATCTTCTTCTGAATATCCATCACCATATCTGCGAGCACCAATGGATTCCACTACCACTTTTGCACCAGGAATCTGGTCTTGAACATAGCGTTCCAAAATCCTGATAATGGAAATTGGTAATTCATTAGCTCTATTCTTTGACTTATTTATAGTTAGACAAAAAAAAAATCTTATATTGTAAAGAAAATTGATTAATAGCATGTCAGGAAGGCAGGAAAGATGGATGGATGGAAGGAAGGAAAGAAGAAAAGGAAGGAAGAAAAGGAATCCAGAAAAACTAGTTTCAAGCGTGGGGTAATTAATTCTACCTCTTAGTATTATATTGGGACTTGAATTTTAAATGGTTTGAAGGGAAATTGTAAATATATTTTACAGAGGGAACTGGTAGGCATGATAAAGGAATAGGTTTTATCTTTTTTACAGAAGCTATTAAATTCCACAAACTACGCTCACAGTGAAATGCATTAAGTATATAACACAGAAGTGGCCATACATCTCACACGCGTAAGATTTATGCCTCTGAGAAAAATTGGAGTGCCAGATTGTCAGGCATACCAGAACAGAATAAGTAAGACTGACAGTTAAGCCACAGGTATTTTCAGAAATGGAAAAAAGTTGTTAACAGATTGTTTAAACAATGCCAGTGCAGAGCTGCAGCATGTAAGCAACCTAGAAAACACAGCTGACAATTATTGAAGATCCAGCCAGTTTCCTCTATCAACAAAAATAGACTTCCTGAAATATTGTCTCATGCGTTTGACTCTTTAAAAGTAGTCTATGGGGCACAGCAATAGCCATTTAAATATCAGTAGCATTATGGGGTGTGGTTTCCTTAACAACCACCTGGCTTAGCAATGGAATTTCTGGTCCCAATTGCCAAGGACTATCTGTACTACTTTTGTTTAGAGCCCTATGAATAACAAAAACATTGATGTCTTGGATAATCTCATTGACCCTTGGAGGCTTAGATTGACATTGTTTTAGATGAAGTCCCAGTGACTACTCATCTTCCATAGGACCAATTCAGTGCAGGCCCATTTAGTATCAACAACAGCAGCCCCAAACTATTTTCTGAGTTCTTCACTTAAGAGTTATGATGTATGCCAGGGGGTGCCCCACAAGCGAGATGCATCACATGCAGGCCACGCCCACCCTAGCTCCACGAATGGAAAAAAAACCCATGAAATGTCATGTGACAGTAACATGACGCTCCACGTTTGGCATCCTTGATGTATGCTATGGTCCATATAGCTTTGCTCAGTTCTGAATATGAATATTTTTTATTTTATTAGACAGTGAGTTGGGCAACATGAATGAATAATTTTTAATGTTTATTTATTCATTTACCTACTTGCTTACTTACTTATTTTATTTACTTACTATTTTTACAAATAATTCAAGACAGCAAACATATCCAACACATCTTCCTCCTCGTATTTTCCCCACAATTCTGTGAGATTGTATAACTGGCCCAAGGTCACCTAGCTGTCTTTCATGGTTAAAGCGGGACAATATAGTATATATTGCATATTATATTATAATCCAGCCTTTAAAAAGGGAAATCTAACAAAATCCTCAATCTCACAAACTTTTTCTTTTATAACTGTGAAGTAATTATTATTGCTTTTCTGAAAACCAAGTATATTTACCTTAAAAGGTAGTATCATGCAGAGGACAGCAAGCTTTCATTAATGTTACAAATAATTAATACATTTTAACAATGTAATTGTACTGATGGAGGTCCCCATGTCTTTTTTTAATTGTACTTTTTAAATCAATGTCTTTTTTAAAATAAGAAATAGGGAGAAAACATAGTTTTTAATAGGGAGAGATTTTGTTTGTTTTGTTTTACTAAAAAGGCAACTAGAGTAGAGTTTTTTTAAAAAACATTTTGAAAACAGAAACTGTGGGATTTATCTTGCAACGGCCAGCCTGAATTTTCCTGCTGCAGTTGCTGCATTCTATGATTCCTTCCAAGCTCTGCATACTAATTCAAAAGAAAGCTGTGCCAAGCTAATTAAACTTAGAGAAGCCCCTTCAGCAAACACTTCGGTTAATTTATACTTTTATATAAACTCTAAGCTGGGTTGATCAGCCAATAGACACATGACATGCAACACAGATGATTCCAGTCACGTGAGTTTGGAGATTGATTCACAGAATACATGAAAAGGATCCATGTTTTGGCTCATAAAATCATAATGTTTCCTGAGCCAAGTTAAACAATCAGGGACTGCATAGATGCCTTGTACCAAAGCTTAGTAGGATTGCCTGAACCATGTTTAGTGGAGTTGTTTAGGGACTCACTTGGTTTCGCTATTTTTTTTTAAAGTATGGTTGTATGATTTATCACTGATGTTACAGTCTCACTTCCCCTTTGGATATCTGCAATGTGCTTTACATGGAGTGCTCTTGAAGACCAGTCAGGAACTACAAATCCACAGACCTAGAACACAGTGGTACACACCAGTCTTGGTTGTTCGTAAGGGTTGTTCAAACTGTTACACAAGCTGTACTAGCTCTCAGTTTCCTTCGTGGTGGAATTCAAGGTATTGTTCCCACATTTAGAACCCCATAGGACCAAGTTGCATATGGAAACACCACTCCAAGAAAACGTGACCCGTCAAAACCGCGGTCCACTAAAGCGCGCCCGATTAAAGCGCGTACCTGACGTCATCAGCAGCGCGACAAATACGACCACGGAGAAAAAAGGGCGCTTTAAAAAGCGCTTTTACAGCAAGCCGATTCACATAAAGGTAAGGGTTAGGTTTAGGGCTAGGGTTAGGTTAAGGGTTAGGTTTAGGGTTACGTTAAGCGTTAGGGTTAGGTTTAGGGTTAGGTTAAGGGTTAGCGTTAGGTTTAGCGTTAGGTTAAGGGTTAGGTATAGGGTTAGGTTAAGGGTTAGGGTTAGAGTTAGGTTTAGGGTTAGGTTTGGGGGGGTTAGGTTTAGATTTATGCGTTAATTTTAAGTTTACCGCTCACAGCGTGCTGTTTTCGTCGCGCTGTGATGACGTCACGTACGCGCTTTCGTTGAGCGCGCTTTAGTCTACCGCGGTTTTGTGATGGAACCCAAGAAAATATCTGTGCATCTCACCAGATTGGGCAGAGTAGGCAGATTGAAATCTTGTCACCTTGTGGGACCTTGGAAGTGTACCTTTTCTGTGGCTATCCTATAGACTAGAGTTCCCAACCTTTCCGGCTTTGAGGACTAGGGGGGGGGGAGGGAGGTAGAGGGGATGGTTCCGGGTGAGGTATTGGCAAGTAGGTACACGCAGTTCCATTTGCACTATACAGCATTCATGTGTGCCACCACTCACACAAATAGAGCATGCATGTACATGCTTGCTTGCTGATCATTCAAATGGGGATGCTTGTTCTTGCGTGCGCACTTGCCCACCATCTCCACCGCCCGGTTGCAAACAACTCCAGAGGTTGGGGACCCCTGTTGTAGAACACTCTCCACGCAGACTTTTAATCTTTCAGAAAACTATCGAGACATGGCTTTTGAACCAGGGTAGAATGAAGATGTCTGAAGTTCCTTGTGGGGTTGATTAAGGCACCATGTTCTGTTTTGGTTTCATGCTTTATATTTCTGGGTTCCATTGTTGTTATGATCTGCTCAAGGTTATGTTTTTAAGTTAGGAAGCCATACAACACTTTTAAACACTTTTAAATCAGTAAATTACAAAAGTCGCCAGGGTTTTTGAATGTTTTTGGGTCAGTACATTTTTAATCACAAGTGATTTTTTTCATGGTTACGGAATGAAGATATTCATTACCCTATAAGCTGATCTTTGCTTTGTTCTACAAGAGTAGGAGGAACATTTGACACAATGACTTGCATATCCAGCTGGTTGACTACTGAGACCTGAAACAGAAAAACAAAAAATATAGTGGCGTCTGCAAAACATGTAATATACTCCAAATAGAAAGTGTATCTCATTTAAGAATTTCCTTTGATGGCCAGCAGTGTGGAGTTGGAATGGAGAAACTTATTATAATAAAATAACACAACAATTTCCTTGGTGGGATTTAATAAGCAGAAATATGGCTGCAATACAACTTTTTTTTTTAAAAAAAAGAAAAAAATTGCTTTCATTTAAATAAGCCACATTTTATTATTACCGGTACATAATATACAAGAGACCATCGTTTGTGTTGCCTTTTGTATTTCACCTGCACAAAATCTACCTGCAATTTTGTGTCTTTTTATCCGGAGATTCATACTCCAAACTGTAGTAATTGAGTATAACTGGACATAGCATTTGTGACACCAAATTGATCCTCAGCGACATTATCTATATTTAAAATAGCAATAGCAGTTAGACTTATACACCGCTTCATAGGGCTTTCAGCCCTCTCTAAGCGGTTTACAGAGTCAGCATATCACCCCCACAGTCTGGGTCCTCATATCACCCACCTCGGAAGGATGGAAGGCTGATTCAACCTTGAGCCGGTGAGATATGAACCGCTGAACTGCAGATAACAGTCAGCTGAAGTGGCCTGCAGTACTGCACCCTAACCACTGCGCCACCTCGGCTCTTAATACATAAATATATAAAATAGAATACAATGAGATAAAATTATATTTCTTTATCACCCCTGCAATCTACCCCAATCAGTCCCACATATGCCGATTTCAGATGGATCATTTTAATCAGAAATTGTGCTATATTGAATGTCGTCAGATTCTGGCCACGCATGAGGTATGTTGTTTTAATATTGGCCTCCAAATGGGCCATCCGCTTCATATGAGGATCAAGTTACTTATCACTCACCCCCTTATATAACCAGCAATCAAATATATGAGTCAGATCTTCTACCTCTTCAGCTCCACAGATATATGTACGTTCATTGTATGTGATAGAATGGAATGTTCCAAACCTAACCATTGTTATCAAGCTGTTCGAAACTTGCTCGAGTATAGGTTTCCCTGAGATATTTTGGCAATTGTGATTTTTAAATAGTTGTTGTGTAATGTTACTAATTGCAGTGATACACTCAAGAACTGTGACAGGAATGGTCATAAAATGGAGGAAAATTCACTTAATAACTATGTCGTTTAGAACAGTAATTTCAAACTCAGTTGTGGTCATAGATTGAGGACTACCTATATAGAGAGTACACAAGGAGGGAAAGCACAAGGAGAATTTATCCACTTGAACATTGAAAGAGCTGATCAATCTGTATTTCTACTTGCCCTTCACCTCAAAAGCAGTATAATCTTGGTTGCAAGAATGGAGTGTCATTAGGAAATTATTGAATGAATAGCATAATCTATATGCAATCAAGGCTGCATAGCAGAAAAAAAAATCATAATTTCCTTGGCCATGTAAGACCATGCTTTTTTTAATACTTATCTAGGTAGGAAACAGAAGGAATTGGGTTGCTGAGAAAGAATGAAATTGATACAATGACCTCTACAGCCCACACATTAGTCAAGTAACTTAAGCTAAACCATTGGCAAGCCAGCATACAAATTCTATCATCGTACCAACCACACATCAGTGTACAATTAAACCAAGCGGTCGATAGGCATGCAAATCATAACACGTTTCCTGATGTATGTGCACTTGACAAAACTAAGTCTCGTAAGAAGGTCACATTTCATTTTACTTTCTTGAGTACTTGAATTGCATAAGTAGCTTGCTTACTTAATGGCTTTTAAAACTATTTAATCATCGGGATGTTGGCAGCATAATTTGATACTGTGCTAGGCTCTGAAAAGTATCAGCATTTCATGATATAAGTCTTTTAGATAAATAAACAAATTCACACAAAACCTTGAGGGGAAAATCCTGGGACTTTTCCAAGCAGAGATGCGTCTCCAGTCTTAAACTTAAAAAGTTCAAATGTGGCAGACAATTTTTTTTGGGTGTGGGGAGGGTAACTATTATCTTGGGATTTTTCCCCCTACTTTCTTTGTATTTCAAACTTTTACACACACACACACACACACACACACACACACAC